CATCCATCCATCCATCCATCCATCCATCCATCCATCCATCCATCCATCCATCCATCCATCCATCCATCCATCCATCCATCCATCCATCCATCCATCCATCTGTCCAGCATGGTCCCTGTCTCCAGCAGTCTCTGTGTGAGAGGCAGAGGACACCTGGACATGTCTCCAGTCCAACACAGTCCAGTCTCACCATCAGGAACAGTTTAGCGTTATTAATGAAACTAACCTTCATGTTTTTGGGCTGATTTAAGTTTAAATATTTGATTTAATTTTACTCAACAACTCTCGTGAAGAAAACGAGCCATTATGCTCATTCTGTGTGAGATTTAAGACTTTGAATAAACAAGTTTGTGTCTGTTAGGAAGTGGACAGTGTGTGTGTGTGTGTGTGTAGATAAGCCAGCTTTTCGAACAGGAACCGTTAATAAACATTGTCAGGTGCTTATCTTCTCAGCCCCGGCAGCCTGTGAAACCTGCCTCGTGATGTTTGAACATCTAAAACTGAGCAGTCTGCACGCTGTTGTTCTGCTGCTCACTTGTCTCCTCGCTGCCAGAATTTAAACTTATCTACTGAACAGGAGACGTCTCTGATGCTCCGTCTGTGAGAAGAATTTTCCAAACACTCATCTAATCACATACACCTAATATCCTCCGTTTTTGTATTAAAGGACAAGTCAAACAGTTTTTTTTTTAAATTTAATTCAAGGTTTGTTTTGGAACTACGTATTAAAACAGACAAAACTCATTCTTTAAAAAAAAAAAGATTATGAAATGAAAACTTTAAACCTCCTGACATGAGGTCACCGTTTCAGTAACTTCATTTAGAAATTCTTCTTCTTCTTCTTTAAATGAACTTTTAAACCTTCTGCCGCAGCCAGGAGACGCAGAGATGGAGAAATGGTGGAGTTTTAACAGGAAGGTCAAAGGTCACGAGCGAACGCTTTGTCCCAACACAGCTGTGACACAAATATTGTTGCAACGTTAGTGAACGAGAAATGAGCTCGTTCCTTTGCTGCCGTTTGATTTGATCGGGTTTTTATTGAGGAACAAACAAAATAAACGTGAATTAATTTCTCTAGAATAAACTTAATACTCATAATAATGCTCTGAATCATAAAAACGTTTAAAAACACCAAGAAACATGTTTTTATACTCCAATCATGACGAGGAAGAACTTCAGACTCAGTTTAGTTCAACTGTTAAGAGTTTTGAATAAACATTAAAACACAACACAACTGTTGCAGCAGAAAGATTTTTAACAAATTTATTATTTATTTCCTGAACCTGCAGCTGATTAAAAACCAAACCTAAATAAAACTTTAATTTCCAGTAACTCTGAGTTGTCCACAGGAAAGAATTGTGTTTCTCCTCCACATTTTCCAGCCTGTGAGACAAAAACAAGTTATTTTTCCTAAAACCAGATTTTTTTCGCTCAAACGTCGAGAACGAAACACGAAGCAGACGAGTCGAAGCCCAGCGCCAACTAACGGGACCGTTTCAGGACTCTCTGCTCGCAGATGAATTTGTTCAGAAAGCTGCTTTTTTCTGCTTTCCAGCTCTTTGTCGGGTTCTGTCCAGGAAGCAGCAGAACGTATGAAGCCTGGGAACCGCCGGGTTCTGACTTCCAGAACCTTCACACGAGAACAACAACAGTCAGGTCACATTCATGAGCTCCTCACAGAGACCAGGGAGGATTTAAATTAGATTTTTATTCTTACCCCAGAGTGTCGTTCCGGCCGTCGACCCAGACCCAGGCGGTTCCGGTGTTCCGTAGACCCAACCAGAACCCGTGATGTTCGTCGAAGTAGAACTTTGAGTTTTCACTGATGAATTCCTGTAAACGAAGCGTCACACTTCAGGACATCAGTTCTGGAGGAGCGTTTCAGCAGAAGCTGCAGACTTTACCTGCTCCCTCAGGTCGTCAGCAACTACCAGGTCTGCGGCCCGGTTCTGGCAGAACTCTCGACTCGCCCCCCAGCTCCTCCAGGGAGCGTCTTGGTTATAAAACAGGTAACATTTGTCCCCAAACAGAAGCCAGCCTGTCGGACACGGCCGACACTCTGCAGTCAGGAAACAGAACAAACAAATCACTTCAGGAAACTGTAAAACTGAACGATCTTCACGGAAAATAACGACACTGCATTTCCTGTGGAAACGCAGCGTGAATGCTTATTGCAGAAGAACTTGCTGAAAAACAGCTGAAATTAGCTAAAAAAACATGTTGAAATGGAAGAGCAAGCCTAAGTTAGCAGAAGAAAGCAGAAAGGACACATTTGCTGAATTAGGTTTAAATAAGCAGAGATGAGCACGAAATTAGCTAAAAGTAGCTGAAATTAGTTTTAAAAATGGCTGAAAAGTAGCTGAAAAGGCAGAAAAAGCTGAAACTAGCTGAAAAAAGCTGAAAGGAGCATAACACATTGAAACTAGCTTAAAAAAGTTATTTAGGCTGAAAGTAGCAGAAATTACCATGAAAATTTTGAATTGATCTGAAAACAGCTGAAATTAGCTAAAAATGCTAGCTAGCTGAAAAGGTAGAACAAGCTTAAATTAGCAGAAGAAAGCAGAAAGAACATGTTTGCCCAATTTGGCTGAAAAAAACAGAAACGAGCACAAAAAAGTGGAAATTATCTGAAAAAAGCTGAAAAAAAAATCCCAGCTTAAAAGTAGCTTAACAAGCAGAAAGAATCCTAAAGTGGAGAGAGCCCATTTTAGCCAAATTAGGAAGAATTTTTTTTTTTAAATGAGTGCAAAAAAATGTGGACTTAGCTGAAAGGCTTACATTAGCATAAAACAGTAGCTGAAATAAGTTAAACGAGCAGAAATAAGCTGAAAGCATAACAAGCTGAAATCAGCAGAAAAAAGTCTCAGGTCTCTTGTAAATGAGTTCTCGAGGCTCAATGGGATTAACTTGTCTAAATAAAGGTTGAATGAAAGTTAGAAGAAACACAAAAATGTTGTAGTTGGCAGAAAGAATCTGAAAGGAGCACAAAACAGCTGAAAAAAAAAAACATCTGTAAGTAGCTGAAAAAAGTTTAAATTTGCAGAGGGAAGCTGAAAGAAGCTGAACCAGAACAAAACGTGAACGGAGCAGTAAAAGGTTGTAAACACGTCTAAAGATGTGACGGAGGTAAAATGAGCTCAATTCATTTTCTATGAGAAAAAAAATGTCAGAAAAGGCTAAATATTTCAAAAAGCTAAAGTTGCACCGATACCAAAAGTCACAGCAGGATTGTCTTGAAAGAGCCGAACGTTTTGATTTGTTGAAACAGCACAAAACTTGTGGAACAAGAAAGATGCTGAAAAACGTACGGAGTAAATAAATTTATCAGACATTAAGGTTTGGTTCTGTTTAACGTCCGGACGGCTCATCCTTTTAGCTTGAGACGTTTTCCTCTGACCGTTATTTATCTCAGGCAAACAAAGTTTCAAAGGAGCTGTTGTTGTTTACAAACCAGCTCTGTAAGTGGGCCCACCAGAACCCCCCGTGACAAAGTTCTGGAGGAATCTCTTGATAAAACAAAAGTGACAAGAAGAAAACGTCAGAATTACAAAGTTTGATAAAATAAATGACTTTTTTCGGGGCAGAAGTCGTTCACTGGAAAACTGTTGAAGGTCAGGATGACGTCCAGAGTCCAGTTCAGGTCGTCCCTGCTCCGGCTCAGCTCCTGGGTCCGGTTCTCCAGGCTCCTCTTTTCAACCGTCAGGCGCTGGTTTTCTGCAGAGAGGTCCCTGAGGTTCATCTGCTGCTGGTTCAGCTCCACTCCGACTACAAACAAAAACACTTCAGTCCGTTTTCAAATTCTGTTTAAAATAAATAAAATAGTTCAGTATTTTCTATATATTCTATTAAAATAATAAATTTCAATATATGAGTATTTATTAAGATTGAGATATTTTCTTGTGATTTCCATCATTGGGTCCCAGAGTGAGCAGGTCCAGGAGGGTGAACCCAGACCTCCTTCTCCTCAGAGACACTCCAGCTCCTTCTGGAGGATCTCAACGTGTTCCTGGACCGGAGGACACGAATCTCCTCTACAGAGTTCTGGGTCTGCCCTGGGATCTCCTCCATGCGTATAACCTCTTGGAGGAGGCATCCTTGAGGTGGTCGTCCTCAGCTGCCTCCTGTCGATGATGAGGAGGATGATGGTGCTCCTCCCCTCCTCTCTGAGGCTGAGCTCAGTCCTCCTGCAGAAGAGGATCTCTTCAGCCGCTTGGATCTAGGACCTTGATGGCTGGAACATGGACGGACCAGTAAATCCAGAACTATCTTTTAATATCAGCTCCTTTTTCACCATAGCAGACCGGAGCAACATCCTCATTACTACATAATCAAATCCTTACTGAACAAGACTTGCTGATACTTGAACCCCTGACGCAGAGGAAGCCTTCCTCCAGAACAGCTTCAGACTGAGAGGGGTGGACTCTCATCCCGGCTGTGAAGGTCACGACAGAGATGCAGACAGAACCCAGCAGAACCAAAGACCCGCGTTCTCCCGTGCTCAGTCCTGGTGTGGGTTCGGCCCGGATCAAACAAAGTGCAGGAACATACGAGCAGAAGGTTAAATTCTATTTGCAGACGCCAACTCTGAAACGAACTCGTCGTTTCCTCTCCAGCTGCAGCTCCTTCTGTTCGGCTGAAACATGAAACCTGAACGTTGTGCAGGTTGATGTGAAACTCACTGAAGACGATGACGACGATGAAGCTGACGATCAGGAGGAAACAAAGACTCCACGAGCAGACGAGCAGCCGACGACTGTTCCGGCCTTCGTTTTCTGCACCAACTGAAAACAGAAGCCGTCATCACATCAAACTTTCATTTGCCTTTTCCTAAAATGAAACTTGGACAAACGCTTCCTCTGATGAGCGCCTGCCTCTAATCTATGATAGATTAAGTCCTACACGGCACCTCATATTAATCTTTAACCAACATTTAACCTCAAGGTTCAGTTTTAGAACTAGTTTGATCAACTTTAATTTCATCCTGTGGAGACGTCAGCAAATAAAATGATAAAACGAAGTCAGAATAATAACTCCTGTCCAAATGACAGTTACACATATTTAACAATTAAAGCACGACACTAAAGGCAACGCAGAGAAATAAATAAATAAAGTTGTTGTCAGATTTGTTTGTCTTCTTTCTGGTCTTCGTGTTGATCTCGTTGATAAAAATCACATTTTAGGAAGATTTATTCATCAAGTGAACGCTTCAGCAGCCATTCTGTCCACATTTATGTTAAAACACGTGAACTTTTAGAACAAATGTTTTAACAAACGAGTTAAAATTTAAATAAAAATCACTAAGATACAACTTATTATAGTTAAAACCTGCAGCTGGAGTCAGAAATCACTTATAATCCGCCCGTTTGGATTAAACTATGCAAATGTTTTTGTTCGTAATTTAAAAAGTTTTAGTTCTTGATTGCTTGTGGATAAAATCACATTACAAGATGATTAATTAATTAATATAATTAATAAAATTAACAGAACAGACCTGCGCTAAGACAGTCAAGTGTGACTTTCAATATAAAGTCACACTTTTCTGACAGAAAAACATTTTTAAATAATTTAAACGAAGCAAAACTTTAGCAGAAACATGAAATAAGGTCAAATATAATTAAACTAAATTAAACTACAGCAATTATAAAAAGCAGAAACATCTGCAGCAGTCTTACTGTTTGACATTTTTGAATTTTATTGTAACCTTTTTTATCTAAATAGATAAAAAAATGGAAAATTATTTATTTTAATTTGGTTTTTAATACATATGCATTTAAATTCACAAGAATCAAAATCTAATTACACTGTTAAAAAGCTCCAAATACATTTTCCTGTTTATTTGTTCTGTATGAAAACCTGTTGGTTCTGGTTTGAAACGTACCCGGGTCAGCCGGACTCCTTTTGGGTTTGACTTCAGAATAAATCGTCGCGTCCTCTTCCTGCTCTGCATCACAGAAACACCACTTCATCACTTCACAATTTATTTTTATGGTTCTTCTAAATGTTTCCAGATGTTAAAATCTAAAGAGTTGCGTTAGAATACGAATAAAAAGTTATAAAACACGTTTTCTTAATAAAACCTGACCTAAAGACGTTGAACATTCTCACCTTTTAATCGGGGCTGGCCAGCTTTAATCACGACCGTGGAATAAAAGACATCTTCCTCCATCTTTACTCAGAAAACAACAAAGGTTTAAACGCCGGGGCCACAGCTGGAAGTGAAAAAGGTTTCCAGCTGTTCAAACAGAACAAACAGGTTCCTGTTCCTCTAACGGTTTAGTTCTGATGCAGCTCGGTGGTTTTTATTACACAAAGTGTTTTCAGCTCCTGTAACAAAGATCCCCGTGCTGCTGTGACACAACCAGTGTCAAAATGGTTTATTTTTAATGGGTTAAAAGGCCATTTGTTTTATTTATTTATTTATTTTTTACAAACGAGACAGAAAATATGTAAAGATTAATTCATTATCTGACGAAGGTTACTGGTGTAAATATTTGGCTGCCAGGTTTAAGGCACCCAGTCTTGAGTTTTGTGAGTTTATTTTCAGGTTTTGTTTTAAAATACTCAGGTTACTTTACTTCCTGTCTGATTAGAGTCTACTTCCTGTCTACTTCCTGCTCTACCCCTCCTTGCTTTGAGCTGACCCCATGTGGAGCTCAGTTCTCCCCTGAACATCACCTGGAGCTGAACGTGACAGCAGCTGACCTGAGGTGAAAAAGCTGAACTATAGGTAGAATCTCACCGAGCTGCGACCTCTGGGAGACGAGTCGGTGATGAGAAACTGCAGGAAATCGTGATGAAACGTGAGTTCGGAAGCTTCTCACAACTCTGAGTGTTTGTGACCAAGAGACCAGCAGGCCTGGAGCCTGTCAGTTGATCACAAGTTCCTAGAAGCTGACACCTGATCTACTTTTAAGACCAGGGTTAAGGCTTTCCTTTTTGGCTTGGGTTTCCTCAGTGATCCCTTAGTCCTGCTGCATTAGACTCAGACTGCTGGAGGATAAACTGACCACACCTCCTCACTCTGCTGCTGCCTTTACTCGCTCTGCTAACCCTGTCTGTAACCACTTCCATAATTAAACTGTGCTTTTCTTAGATTTTCTTCTCAGAGAAACTACGCCTGGACCATAGATTTATTGAATAACTTATTAACCTTCATTTAACCAGAAAAATCCCATTAAGATCACAGATTTCTTTTGCAAGGGAGGCCTGGGCCTGAAGGCAAACCGGAGTACCCGGAGAAAACCCACGCAAGCACAAGAAGCTTCTTGTGCTTGTTCTAGAACATGCAAACTCCACACAGAAAGACCCCAGGTCCAACCGAGGATTGAACCCAGGACCTTCTTGCTGTGAGGCAACAGTGCTAACCACTGAGCTGTCATGCTGCCAGCAGAAATGACACCGGGACCACAGGAACTACACCTGCACCAGTCATGCTGTGTCTTTTTTTCTGTTCTCTCCAACTCCAGCCAGCCCAAGCAGATGGATTCCCATCGTAATTCTGATCCTACTGGAAGCTTCTTCATGTTAAAATAAGTTTTTCTTTCCCACTGTCACCAGCATTGTGCTCAGGATGTCAGGATTTCTGGCTGAGCAGGACAGGAATGAACCCAGTGGTGCAGGCAGGAATCAGAGGCAGATTGTAAAATTAAATACTTTTAATTAAACAAAGAGGCTGACATGGCAGCAAAACTTGCATGACTGGATAACAAGGAGCAGGTCAGGACCAGTGGTGTAGTCTGTGATACGCGGGTATACGGAGTATACCCACTAAAAAAAGCTTGGTCATTTCAGTATACCCACTTAAAAGTGCCCAATGACATGAGCCCATGTCACGTATCATTGTGACATGGGCTCATGTCACTGGCAACACATTTGGAACATTTATAGACACACTGAGCTGGTTCAACCTGTTTTTTTGTATATATTTTTTTCGTTCAACCTTTATTTATACAGGTTAATGCCGTTGAGCCTCGGGGACTAATTTACAAGAGAGACCTGAAATAACAAGTATAGTACAATTAATACTTCTGTGCTCACTTATTAATACTAGACATCGGGGGGAAAAATCCTTCTGAGTCGGGTATCGTGACAAAGTAACCGCTCCATGACTGGGCAGATCTAGTCACTCTGATTCTATACTTTGTGCTCTGAGTGACGTCACGCGCTAACGTAATGACTGAACAAATTAAAGTTGTGTTGTTTTTACATGTTTGACCAAGCTTGTGAAGCTCTTGGTGTGTTTAAGTGTGCTGCTATGGAGCAGAGTTTTCAATAAATTTGTAATTCATTACATTCATGTCTGCGTTTAGAAAAAAAACAACTTTTAAGTTAATTCAGCACTGGGTTTGTAAGCTCAAACATCCAGGTAGACAATAAAAAAAAAAATGGCTGAATCATGTCATCTGGACCTGTTTCAGAAACGGGTCCAGATGACACGATTCAGCCATTTTTGTTAATTCAGCACTGGTTATTTTTTTTCAGATTGGCATCGGATCGGTATCGAGTGTTACCGTACAACAAGTATCGGTATCGGATCGGAAGTGAAAAAAAAAAAAGTGGATCTGTGCATCCCTACTTAATACTTGAACATGTTTTGCTTTGATACTGTTTTATAAATTCTATAACGTGTTTTTAATACAAATCCAACTGTTGTACAAATTTGTTGTACACTTATTCAGATATAAGCATCAGAGAAATTTTGAAATGTTCAATATGCTTAAAAATCAAAATAAGTTAACGATTATTGTACTAACTGGTGTACTTTGGTTTCTAAGCACAGTATACCCACTACAAATATGTAGACTACACCACTGGTCAGGACCAGGACAAGATCAGGACAAGACGAGACTGTCCCCAACGACGATCCGACACTGAACAGGACTCACAGACAGACTCGAAAACATAATTACAAACAGCTGGACATGAGACAAGGGTGGAACCAGACACTGGGGAGTACAGAGAAGGACCACCAGAAGGCACCGTCCTTACACAGGATGGAAGATGGAGATAAAGTGGAGCGGCTGTGGCTGAGTGGTTAGAGCAGTCATCCTCCAATGCAAGAGTTGAGGGTTCGAATCCACCAGCAGTCACATGCTGAAGTGTCCCTGGGCAAGACACTGAACCCCTCAAAGCCTCTGAAGTGTGTCCCATCAGTGCATGAATGTGATTTAAAGCACTGATTAGTCTCTTTAGAATGATTTGTTCAATTAGCTTTGTAGAGATCTAGTATAGAGCTGTGTAAATGAGGCACAGATTGCTGTAAAGAGCTTTGAGTATCTTGAAATAAGATAGAAATGCGTTATGTAAGTACAGTCCATTTACCATTTGATTCAATCCACCAGCTTCCTCAGATATATAACTTTTACTTTGTGGTATTTTTTAGTTTATGTAAATGTTTTTGTGACCTAAGAGGACTTTTGTTGTGAACTGAAGCTAAAAAAAAAAAACAGATCTGAATTGATTGGCTTGTGGGCCCAAATCTGCATGAAACACACCAGGAAAATATACTTCCTGCTTTGTTTATTTGATCTTTTTTTTTTTTTTACCACAACTTCCTCAGAGTCTTGCACTCTGTTGAGCTTGACTGTTGATGCTTGAGTCCGTTTCAGAAGATCCCCAAGTTACCAGAATAAAAAAAAAAACAGGATCTTCTCTCTGCTCCGTCAGGTTACATCAGGTTCAAATGCTGCTGCAGTCCTGATATAATCAAAATACTCAGAAAAGAGTAAAGTGAAACTGTATGTAAAAAAAAACACGTATCCAAAGAAAAAAAATCTGTATTTTGACGTCAACTGAAACAAGTTATCCTAACAGTTGTACTTCAAAAAGTAACTGTATTTGAATTGTACTGTTCATACAGGACTGATTTGTTGTTAGGTCTTAAGACGGGATACACTTTGAGAAAATGTCAATCAATCAATTTATTCACTCGATTCAAAAATAATATCATCAGTTTACAAACACATTCTCTGACAACACTTGTTTACACGAGTGAAGGGGGAGCAGGAAGAAGAAAATCTTGTATAGATCCGCCCCCTTTCTTAATAATTACCAAAATGTCATGGCCGTGTACATTAAATTAACAAAACAAGTTGCAAACAATATAACAACAACAATAACATGCATAACAATATATCACTCTTCTCATTAACAACTTAAAAGTGTATAAGAGTTAATCATTCTTTTTTATAAAGTGTTTTGAATTGGTTTATTGTAGAGCTTTTTTTTAACTCCTCGTCCAAACTGTTCCATAGTTTTACTGCATGCACCGAAATGCACATTTGTTTTAAAGTACGCACAGTTTTACTTTTGAAATCATACTTCCTTCTGTTATTTCTATCACATGAACTTCAGAAAAAGAACCTTTGTAAATTAAATGGCAATAATCTCTTTTTAGCTTTAAACATAACCAATAGCATTTTTAAATTAGCCAGATCCCTTAGTTTCAAGATATTTGACAGAATAAACAATTTATTTGTGCGTTCTCTAGTGTCCACTTTATATAAAACTCTCATAACTTTCTTTTTAAGACAGACAACGGTTTAGTGTTGGTTTTAAATGTGTTGCCCCGTACTTCTATACAATAAGTCAGATATGGAACAAGTGAATAATATAATGTCTGGAGTGTTGATAGTTCTAAAACATGTTTTACTTTATTTAGAAGTCCAGTACTTTTGCATAGTTTTAGTTTTATGTATTTTATATGAGATTTCCAGTTAAGTTTATGATCTAAAACAACCCCTAAAAATTTAACTTCATGTACTCGTTCAACTTGATTATCATCTATAGACATTATAATAGAATCATCTATTTTTCTATTACCAAAAATCATGAATTTTGTTTTATTCCAGTTTATTGATAATTTGTTGTATTTAAACCACTCGTTAAGTTTAGACATCTCACTTGCCGTACATTCTATAATGTTTTTAAAGTAATTCCCAGAACAAAATAAATTTGTATCATCTGCAAACTGGATGATTTGTAACTTTTTAGACACCACAAATGTCATTGATATACAAAAGAAAAAGCTTTGGTCCTAGCACCGAACCTTGGGGGACTCCACAATTTATATTTTGAAGATCAGATTTTTCATTTCCTAGCTGTACAAATTGTTTTCGGTTAGATGTGGTTAATGATTCGTATAATTTGTGATGTTATGAGTTGTTTGATTCTGTTTTTATCATTTCTCAGGCTCTAACAGTGGAATGGTCTCTCATTAAAGTACTAACCTAAAAAAAACCACAAACACAACACTGGGTGCTCAGTTCTTTCATTCACTTTATTTTATTTATATTGCTCTACTTTGTTACTAAAATAAGATAAAAGAAATGGACCCACTCAGTATTCAAAAAAGCGTTCAATACAAAAATAACTGGACTTTATTTGTAATAGAAGACGTTTCGCTCCTCATCCGAGGAGCTTTCTCAGTTCAAACAGCAGAGAGTGAGAGATTCAGGTTTTAAGGCTGAGAGAGATAAGACACACACACACACACATGTAGATTTGACAAGTCACCTAAACACCTTAACAGTAGGGGTTTCTTAAAGTCTTTGTTACTCTATGCTGATGAAGATTCTCAGTCATCCAGGACATGATGAATTCAAAAAAGCGCCTCATTCACAGACGAGGCCCCTCCGTTCCCATCAGGTGTGAAAACCGGCTGGGAATCAGTCTTAAAGTTGCATTATAGGTTTTTGAAAGTGGAAATCTGAGGCCTCCTCCTCTGTTAAGAGACGCAAAAGAGTGTTGTTTTTGTATTGAACGCTTTTTGAATTCGTCGTGTCCTGGATGACTGAGAATCTTCACCGACCCACTCAGTAGCACAAAGCTCCTTTGGCCCAAATGTCAGATTTATTCAGGCTGCTTCAAACGCCCGGAGCAGAAAACGCTTGAGGTGTTCAGGTCAACGATCCAGACGACAGCAGGAACGAAATCAACCAAAACCTTCAGCTGGTGCGAGACGTGTCAATCAAACAGAACGGGTGTTTTCGATCAGGAACTACAGGATGGTGCAGCCGCTGCTTCGTTCAGCACTCCTCCTGGCTTGCTCCTCGTACCTCCTCCTCATCCGTTCTTCTTGTTCTCTGAATTCTTTTTCTTTCTCCTGTTTCAGTTGATTCTTCATGGCTTCTAGCTCCTTCCCCCTCTCCTCCCTCTCTCTCCTTTGTTCCGCCTGCATCCTTTCAAACTCCCGCCTCCTCTCCTCATTCATCTCCTCCTTCTCCCTCTTCCTCTCCTCCTCCCTCTCCCTCTTCTCCCTCTCTCTCTCGGCCTGGAGTTTCTCGTTAATTTTCTGCATTTCAATTTCGTATTTTCCCTGAATCTGTTGCTCCAGTTCTTCCCTCTCTCTGCGTATCTTCTCCTCCTTCTCCTTCAGGATGCGCTGTTTCTCCTCTTCAATCAGCCTCTCGGCTTCCTGAAAGTTCTCGTTGGTGTAGTGGCTTCCTCCGTTCCTCTGGACAATGTCTCTGATCTTCTGCAGGAGCTGGACGACCTGAGAGTTGTCACCCTTCAGCCTGTTGTTGAACACGTGGTACTGACCATTACATCTGACCACGAGCTCCTGCAGGTCTGGACTTTCAGACAAAAACTCCTCAATAGTCATGTCTTCCAGGTTGTCTCCGTGAGTAAAGAGGACCATGCTGTATTTGTCTGCAGCCTCGCCAAAGATGTTTTGGATCTTCTGCACCGTCTGCTTTTCTTCGTCAGTGAATCTGGTCAGAGAGATGACCACCAGGAAGATGTGGGGTCCAGGAGCAGCGTACCTGATGCACTGGCCCAGATCTTTTTGAGTTTTGTCTTCTTCAAACCTGGTGTCAAGCAAACCGGGAGTGTCGATGATGGCAACCTTCTGTCCAGCTACCTCCGTCTGGCCTTTGGCACAGTCCACAGTTAAAGACTTGGGACTGCACTTGGACTGGAAGAACTTTTGCCCCATTATGGTGTTTCCGGTGGCGCTCTTCCCAATCCCAGTCTTCCCCACCATCACGATCCTCAGCTCAGCGTTGTTTTTCAGCATGGTTCCTGGAAAAAGATGAAAAAATGAAGTAGAATAAGAATTTATATCACGCTGAGCATCAGCCACCACTGAGATCAGAGCGCACTCCGGTGTCACGGTGTGTCCAGGTTCAGACTCACACCAGACGAGCAGATCACCAAAGTGATTATTAAAATCCACCCGAGGAGAGAGACAAAGGGCAAACTATTGAGTAATCTCCCTGAAAGTTTGGGATGTCACACTTTTGGGGGCGCACAGCTTATCTGGAGACGTCAACAAAGGTGACCTTTCACCTGACGGTGTCATCAGTCGAGGCCTGGTCGAGCTGACGCTGCTCTTAGAGACATGAACTTTGGGTTCAACTTTAATGCACCCTGGATGGGGAGGATGTTTCTGACTCACACAGATCAGAGAGTCGGAGAGATTTATTTGTGGTACATGTGGTGGAGCGAGATTATGCACACAGGGTCCCAGTTACATCCAATAAAAAGTTAAAGAAAAACAGTAATAAGATCTATGAACTAAGAAAAACATTGACTAAAAATACTCTGAGCACCAATAGCACAAAAACAATACGCCGAACAGCAGCACGGACAGGAGTCGGGTGCAGGCTGGACGTGATCGGAAACTTTCCATTATCTGACCGGGGTTTTTCCTGCAAGAAAGAGGCTGTAAAGTCTGCAACGCAGCAGAACCAGCCAATGAGGGAGCAGGACTGGAGAACAGATCTTGGAGAAAGGAGTCAGAAGGAAACAGGAAGGGAACGCCTCTGTGTGACATTTTAGATTTTGTTTCTCCTGCCTAACAGAAAAGGAGGTTGTATAAATGACACGAGCACACGCAGAAGCAGATTTTACTCTAAGTCACAGAGTAATTTATAACTATTATAGCTGTGGATGAGTGGTTAGAGCGGTCAGCCACCAGTGGGAGAGCCGGGGGTTCGATTCCACCAGCAGCCACATGTTGAAGTGTCTCAGGACAAGATACTGAACCCCACTGCCTCTGATGTGTGTCCCATCGGTGTGTGACACAATGAGATCACAGAAACCACAGACGCTGCAGTTCTTTCAGAGTTACGGTGACGTGTTCATAAAAAGGATTTAGTTGCTGGAAACACAATTTACCGGAGCTCACCACGTTAAAATATGAAACTGTTACTTGCCTTGTGTGAAGGGGGGCTGTTACAACGAGGAGCTGATGCTGAAGCTGGAGAGAAGTGATAGCAGGACGGAGCCTGGAGGACATTTATAGTTCCAGTCTCAGGGGTTTCACTTTCTGAACGTCAGAATGAAACTCAGAGAAGCATTTACAAGAAATGGCTCCTTTCTTATAACACACACTTCCTGGTTCTGTAGCTGCGCTGCCATGCTGCAGGACCCATGTGTCTCAGGTGAGTCAGGTTGGTACCTTGGCATGGGTCTCAAAACTGGAACTGAAATGACACCACAACTAAACAGTAACTTCTTGCCACTTATTTTAAATAGAACAAGCTTCAATCAGAACCAGAGGTGAAGACATAACCAGCCTGTGCTTTAAGGTCATACACAGCAATGTAGTGTTTATCAGCTGGACACTTTACATAATCAGACATTTAAAACAGTTATGTTGTAATATTAATCTAATTAGAGCTGTAAACAAAGCTCTGCACGTTGTAAGTTTGAAAAAAGTTAGCTTTACTCCTAAACTAAAACCGTTTCTCAAAAAAGCGCAACAAACTGAAAAGTTTGCAGCTTTAAATATGGAGTCAGCTATTCTGCAGAAAAAAAATAATAAAAATATCCCCGTTTATGTGAAATGTTTCATAAACACACAACTGTTAAATGTTACTAAGAAGCCATCGTCAACAAAGCAACAAATGCCTGTGGAAAAAAGTGACATCATAAAATATAATAAAACAAGACATTTTAGGGAGAAACAGTTATTTAGAACCCTGCAACAAAAGTGGAAGTGTGCATTATTACAGATATTATTATTTTTTTTTGTTTGCTCATGGTCTACATTTGAATAAACATTTTTTTTGTTGTTGTTATTTTAAAGTTCAACATCAAAATATTCAAGAAAAACCTGGCTGCAATGAAAACTGCAATCTGCGGTGGAAGTGGGCTCCGGTGCGCACCTGAACAACAACCTCAGCTGCAACAACACCACCAGCCTGATCAAAAGCTCATCAGAGACTCTATGTTCTCAGGCGGCTGAGACGAGCTGGTCTGGGAAGCTCAGTCCTCACCTCCTTCTACAGGTGTGCAGTGGAGAGCATCCTGTGCTCCAGCATCAACGTGTGGCATGGAGGCTGCACAGCTGCAGAAAGAAAAGCTCTGCAGAGAGTGGTGAAGGCTGCACAGAAGATGCTGGAGTCAGCCTCCCCACCATCACAGACATTTACACCTCTAGATGCAGGAAGAGAATCATCTGCATCGTGAAGGACCCCACTCACCCAGCACACACACTTTTTGCCCCGCTCCCTTCATGCAGGAGGTTGAGGAGCATTAAGTGTAGAACTGAGACTGAGGAACAGCTTCTACCCTGAGGCTGTTAGACTCATGAATCTCTAACCAGGAGAATCACTGTATGGCACTTTAATTGTCACTTTATCTGTGCTGCTGATTATCCATGCTGCTGATTTCTTATAAGCTGCTATATTTATACCATCTGCTCACAACAGACTCATGTTCAGGCTGCTGTTTGTCTTGTGTGAAGGGAGGCTGTTCAAATGAGGATCTTAGATCCTTATATACTGTTTATTTTTTTAAATACTTTTTTAGTTTGCTAGTTTTAGATGTAACTGAGATGTACACAATTTCGTTCCACCTCATGTACCACATGTGATGTGAATGACAATAAAGAAACTTGAACCTTGAATCAGTAACAGTGATTGAAATATTGATCAAAATAATCTTTTCCTCATTATTGTGCAGGCTTAGTGTGGACTGTACGACGGTACCGAATGTTAACGCAGTGACAAAATGAAAGAACAAAGTATTACGGTAAACTGGGTTTGATGATGTAAACAACATGGCAGATGCAAATGCCACCACTTCTGTCTCAAGTGCACACAGCTTTGTGCAAATAATTTGAGTAGTGGATACTAGTTCTGTATCAATGTTTCAATGGAGGCTTTGTGTAATATATGAAAATATGTCAAGTGATAATAGTGTGTTTATATCGTAACATCACAAGTTGATCACAATTGATTTTAGCATGCCCAAAAACCTGCACTTTTATGACAAAATTGGGAAAATCGAATGATTCAGTCTCAATTCAGGTTAAACTCCCACAGAAATGGCTTCTGAAGGGCAGCCATCTTGAAAAATACCATACCATACCAATTTATTTATAGAGCACTTAAAACAGCAACAAGGCCAACCAAAGTGCTGTACAAAAGAAAACAAACATGCACAGCGGACAGGAAAACATAAAATAGAAATACAGATACAAATAGCAGCAGAAGCTAACTAAAATGGCCAACAGAGTAGAGAACAGACCGGACCAAAACAAATCACAACGTGTTAAAGGCAAGAGAATAGAAGTGGGTCTTCAAGCGAGACTTAAAGACTGAGAGTGTGGGAGCCTGCCGGACACTCAGTGGCAACTCATTCCACAGTCGTGGACCTGCAACAGAGAAAGCCCTGTCACCTCTGAGCTTACGACGGGTTTCTGGGACTGAGAGAAGCATCTGGTCTGCTGACCTCAGAGAGCGCGGTGGGACATATGGCTGCAGAAGATCAGTGAGATAGGATGGGGCGGAACTGTTCAGTGATTTAAAAACATACATGAGAATTTTGAATTGGATCCGAAGGTGAATGGGTAGCCAGTGCAGGGAGGCCAAAACTGGCGTGATGTGCTCTCTATAGCCTGTACCAGTTAAAAATCGGGCTGCAGCATTTTGGTCCAGTTGTAGACGAGCAATGGAGGACTGACTGATTCCAAACAGAAGTGAATTGCAGAAATCAAGCCTAGATGTTATGAAAGCGTGGATCACTGTCTCAAGGTTCTTTTTGGAGAGTATAGGCTTCAGCTTAGACAGCCGTCTCAGCTGAAAAAAACAGGATTTGACCATCATGTTTACGTGACTGTTGAGTTTTAAGGACGGGTCCATTATCACCCCCAGATTAGTGACCTTTTGTTTCTCTAGCGGGGCTAGAGAGAAAAGGTCAATGTCATGGTTCATGAGTGAGCCACTGGGATGGAACAGCATGACTTCAGACTTCTTCTCATTGAAGCTTAAGAAGTTTAAAGCCATCCAGTCCCGGATGTCAGCCAGGCAGTCAAGAAGAGGCTGAATAGAGCGTGTGCCTCTGTGCCTCAGGGGGAAGTAAATTTGGCAATCATCGGCGTAGAAATGAAAGGGTATGTTGTGTTTGCGGAAGATAGCACCTAGTGGCAGCATGTATAAAGAAAAGAGAAGGGGACCGAGGATGGACCCCTGCGGTACCCCCCACTGGAGCGCTGTCGATGCCGAACTAAAATCTTTGATATTGACACAGAAGGTTCTGTCAGAGAGGTAGGACCCAAACCATTTAAGGGCTGACCCTGTGATGCCCACCCACTGCTCCAGTCTAGAAATGAGGATCTTGTGGTCGATGGTGTCAAAAGCAGTGAAAGCAGTGAAAAATGTGAGCCATATTGTTTTTCCATATGTGGCTTTTGGAAAATAAAGTTCTAGGAGATCATTTGCGCCACACTTCATGCTTGTGTCACTGTTGTTCTGCTCAAAATCTGGGTTATGGGTGGCTCCTGGGGTGGCCAATCAGCTTCCAGAGGGGCAAGTGCCACCCCAGCAACTGTTATGTCTCCATCCCTGGACTCCATAGTGTTAAATAATTAACTTTACTGAACAAAACGTTTTAACACAGGCATTTTTACAGGATGAGACCGGTTTTGTATTTTGTTCATCTTCATGAAAGCACGGGCTGTTATACAATCTGTAAGAACGGAAGCGAGGCGGTGTCTGGCGTTCTTTGAAACCTCTGCCATTTCTTGTAAAAGCTGAGGGGAAAACTGAGATAAAAGTTTTAGTTTTACTTTCATTCTGACAGAAAGTGAAAGCACTTTGTGAAGGTGTGGTTTGCTCCAGACTGTAGAAGCATAAAACATCCTGCAGGTTTCACTTCAGCCTCAGAGTCAACTCTGCTGCTTTCAACACGTCCATGCACGGAAACATGTTCTCTCCGTACCAGGCAAACAGCTGTGGTGAGCATAAACAACTTATCATGTGTTACAGTTACAGTACTCGCTGATTAAGCTGATCAAATTAGTTTACGATCACAAAATTCTTTAGCTAAATATTTTCATGATTTCTTTGAGTTTAATTCTTATTATCGTTCATACTCTACAAGAAGGAGGGATGATTTACAGATCCCCTTCTGCAGAACCACTGTTGCTAAATGTTCATTCATGCACCAGGGTGTTGAGCTGAGGAACCGTTTAAAACAACTAACTAATACAACATTATCTGTATTTAAAAGAAGGTTTAAACAAACTTTATAGATTTTCTAACACATTAGTTTTTCAATTTATCATTTTTTGACAATTTAAATGTATTTAATATAAATTGCTTTGGTATGTAATTGTGTGTGTTTAAAGGAAGATGTATCTTTTATGATTTTTATTTTTAGAAGGGGGGGGGGGGCGCTTGTAAGCCCAACTAGGGTTTTTATGACCTCTCCTGCACATTTAGTTTTTTTTTTCCACTTTTATTTTATGTGTGTTGTTTCTTTTTGTGCAAATAAACAAACAAACAAACCAAAAATACTGAATGAGAATCTGTAGAAAACTGTAATCTGTTTAGTTTTTGTTCTTATAGTTCTATTTATTGTGAAGTTTTTTTGAGCTGCACGGGTTTCAGTTCTGATAATGGCTTTATTATGGATTGTTTTTTGTTTTTACAGAACGAACAAACTTTGAATGTTATGATGATACATAAAAACTGTATCATGTAAATATATTAGGAAATATTTTGTCAAGAAAATATCCAGCTGAGTATTTATATACAGATTGAACAACAACAGATAGAAACAGATTATGTCTTTGTGAGCAACTGCAACAAAAAACCTAAAGGGTCAATTTAAAATAGTTTCTTCACTAAGTTGTCTCATCAGTGATGTATTTTACAGGTTTTATTTAGATTTATTTAGTTTATTGAACATGCACAGTAGCAATAATCACAAGAAAATAGACTTGTACTAAATTATAGACACAAACATTACAAATAACACAAACCTGCATACAAACCCCATCATGTAGGGATGGTTGGGGGGTTGGTGTGTGTGGGGGGAGGTTTTGATGTTGACGGTACCGGGAGTTGAACCTTTGACTTTACGACACCAAGCCCATCTTCTAACCTCTGCGCCACCACTCCCCCATTTAGGGGCGGAGCTATTTTTAAGGCTAGAGGTGGAAATGCTACTGATCGTATGAGATATCAAGAAGCTCGTAAGTGGCTGTTGTGTTTAAAATGAGTGTTTATGTAATTATTTGCAGTTCACATATCCAATATAAGTTTTATTCATTCAACGCAGTCATATTTGTTCATAACTTTATTATTAGTACGCCTGAGAGTTGCTAGGTCCGAGCAGACTCTTAGCGGAATGCACCCTGTCCCTGGATCCTGTTCCGACAGGATCCAGCTCAAATTAAGCCCTGAAAATGTGTTTACGGGTGCACGTACAGACGGAGACTGCACCATCACATGTGTGCCTCGATGGGTGTAAAATGAAACGAATCAATAATGGTGTGATATAATAAAAGTAATAATGTCTCCCCCCCCCCCAACCTTCATCCTTCAGGACAAGGAGCCAGTGTCCAAAACGTGACTTTTTTTTTTTTTGAAACAAAATGGATCTTTTGAGTTATTCAAATCCACGTTGGCATGTTTGTCATTTTAGTTGTTTGTTCTTCCGTGTAAAAACTTTTAGAATTCCTGCATAAATTCAGTGAAGATGGGAGTTTATTCCATTTTCTTATTTTAATAATAATAATAATAATGATAATAATAAAACCCATTTGTGGTAGTGTCGGTTCTTTTTTCCTTAAAAAAAAAAAGAGGATAGTTTTGAAAGTGAAAACTGTAAAAAAAAAAATTGCTGAAAAACTAAAAGTAAATAAACACGCAACTGTTTTTCCACAGGAGCCATGCTGACAAACAACAACGAGCTGAGGATCGTGATGGTCGGGAAGACCGGGATTGGGAAGAGCGCCACCGGAAACACCATTCTGGGTCGAGACTGCTTCGAGTCCAAGTGCAGCCCCAGGTCCCTAACTGTGGACTGCGCTAAAGGCCGGGCAGAGGTGGAGGGACAGAAGGTGTCCGTCATCGACACTCCGGGTCTGTTTGACACCCGGTTTGGTGAGCAGAAAACAACCAAAGATCTGGGCCAGTGCATCAACTACGCTGCTCCTGGACCACACGTCTTCCTGTTGATCATCTCACTGAGCAGGTTCACTGCAGAGGAGAAGCAGACGGTGCAGAAGATTCAAGAAGTCTTCGGTGATGCTGCAAACGGATACAGCATGGTCCTCTTTACTCACGGAGACAACCTGCAAGGCACCACTATTGAAAGGTTCTTGTCTGAAAGTCCAGACCTGCAGGAGCTCGTGGCCAGATGCAACGGTCAGTACCACGTGTTCAACAACAGGCTGGAGGATAAGAAGCCTCAGGTCATCGAGCTCCTGCAGAAGATCAGAGACATTGTCCAGAAGAACGGGGGAAGCCACTACACCAACGAGATGTTCCAGGAAGCTGAGAGGCTGATAGAAGAGGAGAAACAGCGCATCCTGAAGGAGAAGGAGGAGAAGATACGCAAAGAGAGGGAAGAAATGGAGCGAAAACTACAGGAGAAGTACGAGAAAGAAATGCAGAAAATGACAGAAATGATCCACGCCGAGAGAGAGAGGGAGAGGAAGGAGAGGGAGGAGGAGATGAAGAGGGAGAGGGAGGAGATGAATGAGGAGAAGAGGCGGGAGTTGAGGAGGATGCAGGAGGAGAGGGAGAGAGAAAGGGAGGAGAGAAAGAGGGAGTCGACGGAGATGATGGACGAGTTAAAGAAGCAGCACGAGAGCGAAATCAGAGAACAGAGACAACGGATGGAGGCCGAGTACGACGCTGCCGCCCGGAACCAAGCCGAGGACTCGGGTCCGTTCAAGTGGCTGGGCGACATCGCCAACTTTGTTCTGAACGGCATCGGGACTGCGTTCGCATCCAAGCTCATGAAGAAGTTCTGAAATATCGAAAGTTGACTCATTTCTTCCAGGAGAGTTCTTTTTGAAAATTATTTTGAATTGCAGGAAAATGACATAAAAATACCAAACTGACTCATCCGAAGAAAAACTGTCCAGTTTCTTCAGCATTTAGTGAATAAAAATTTAGATTCACATTTTTATCTTTTGTTGTGATCAAATACAGTTAAGGCATTTTTAATGTGCAAGTTAAAATGTTTGGATTCTCATTTAAGAACAACTTTATTGGATTTTTTTTTTAAATCTTCACATTTCTTTTAATGTTGATGTGATTTTGTTCTCAGTGTTTGCCATTAAAGTTTTGATTTAAAATGATTTTATTCTCATTAATTCCTTTGATGAATCATAATGTAACAAACTGTATTTAACCTCTTTTCATCAAAATAAATTAAAACAGCTGCTTCTGTTCCACCGGGACGATGCCGGAGGTTCTGCCTTACACACAAAATGATCCTAAGCTTTAATTTTTGGCTGGTTTATTCAGAGAAGCCGGCTCTGCCAGGTATTGATAAAGAAACCAAAGCTTTTTGATCACCTGAATGATTATAAATCAGTTTTGTTGCAATGGTTCAGTTTCACACAGTTAAGGACGTGGCCAGATGTTGGCCGACCATTGCCGCTGCATGAAACAACAAAGTGTGTTCTGAATGTAGAACAAAGGTTTTACATGCATCTTGATATTTTTGACTGTTTTTTAAAGAATATATTATTAATTACTTGAGTTACCATCTGAGCGTGCCATCACAAAATACTGTAACAGAGGTGGAGCAGCTCCAATCTGCTAAAGCGCCGATCCTCATTGTGGTTTTTTCGTTTGAGTTTAACTAAAGTTGGCCTAAAAGTAAAAGTTTTGTAACTATTTATATCATATAAAGTAAATCCTAGCATTTCACTGTTAACGAGGAGTTGTTTGTGAAACAGACCGACACAAAAAGCTCAAAGAGAACGTTATGAAACCAAGAAAGCTAAAGTTGATGAGGAAGCAAACCGTTTAGAACCTAAACCCAACCATACATCCAAACAGGAAGTGAGTCGACAGGACAGATTAACCACTAAGTAACGAGTTTATGTAAAACTGAGCTGATGAGAAACTTGAGACGATGAGCGTGGGCGAGCAGGAGCAGAAAACTGTCGGAGGAAACACACCGACCACCTCAGAATGACGAGATACAGAAAACAACAATAGAACGACAAAACGGAACCGAAGCCTGAGCTCAGACACAAAGAACCATACAAAATGTATTTTTTATTTTATTTATGAGTGGTTAGAGCGGTCGTCCTCCAATACAAGAGCTGGGGGTTCGATTCCACCAGCAGTCACATGCCGAAGTGTCCCTGAGCAAGACACTGAAACCCTAAAAATGCCTCCGATGTGTGTCCCACCGGTGTGTGAATGTGAAGTGCTGTATAAATGGGTAAATGAGGAAACAGATTGTGTTGTAAAGAGCTTTGAGTATCTTGATCAGATAGAAACCCACTGAGCAAGGAGACGTCTGAACAACGTCTTTTTAAAGTCGTTTTTGCACGTCTAATTTTGGTCCCTTGCAGGTGCAGACTGTGACTCCAGATGACGTCTTTTTCCGACGTCCAACGGACGGTCAATATAGACGTATTGTCTACATCAAAATTTAACTTATTTTATTCACTTCAGATAATAATATAATTAGTAAGTGCTTCGTGTTGTCTTCATTGTATGGTCCCATGCAGCGTTTAACACGTTCACCCTCAGACGGACGTTGGAATGACTGGGGTTCAATCCCAGGACCTTCGGGTTCAAAGTCAGCTGCTCTGCCGCTGCTACATCTCTGTGCGGCAAACAACAGCGACAACAACATTTTAATTATTATACTGCAATAAAGCAATCTATTGCAATGGCCCGGACAAGCAAAGACCTTGTATAACATTTGACCTTGATTTGTGACCTTGATCTTGAAACTGTGGTGTTGAAATAATAAACGATCTTGAGCAGATCAGATGTTATGGTCCAAGTTTTGACCCTAATTTGCAACATTGAAGCTGGGGTGTTAAACAAAGTGCATTTCACTGAATGAGCTTGGGCAGATCAGAAGTTATGGGAGGGACAAGAGAAAGTTTACAGACAAAGACCATGACACGTTGATCTTTGAACGGTAAATACAAATGTTAAAACTCACAAAGACACAGAGGAGAACTGGACAGGGAGCCTGCAGGTCTCACAGATGGACTGTGAGACCTGGGGTCCAACAGGTAGCTTGATGGAATCAGAGAACAGGTGAAGGTGGGCGTGGCAGAACAGAGGAGAAAAACTGACCATGGAAAAGTTGAACAAATATGAGCTGGTGTCACACATGACAGCAAATAAATCATACTAATCAAAAAGGAATAAGCATGTAAGCAAAATACATCTTAAAACAACTAAAACACAGATCCTGACAGGATTCTCCTTTTCATTGCACCCTTTCTGTACCAGCTACTTCCTGTTCTCAGACACTTGACCAGCTTTAGACGATCACAACAGCAGAGGGAACTCCCACGACTTCAGCACCTAACCGTTTGAGGTTTATTTGGGAGTTGGCAGTAGAGTAAAAACACACACAGTTTACCTAATTATAAAAAGTCCAGAAGAACTGAGGTCAGCATTATCAGCGAGCTGATACGTCAAAGACAGTGTGTAGATCAGTGAGACAGGCAACCATTGTTGTGTGATTATTTTTCTCGCGCTCCCAGGAATCTTCTTGTCTCTATCTCGGCTCCTCACTGGCTCGTTCTGCTGCAGGCCTCTGCGCTCTGGCCTGATTTCTTCTCACCACCGTTGCCAGATAGGAAACAACAAAATGTGTGTGCTGCGGGAGGGTGCACTTTAAAGCTCACAGGGGGAAGGGGTGAGGTGTGGCTGTGCACCTGGTGAGGATCGTCCGGCTGGATGGATCTGACGCTTTGATGATACAGTATGTGGGTGTTAATGTGGATAAAAACAAGTGCATGGAAAATCCCAAACTATTGTGAAATTAAGCTTTTTAAAACCGTCTACCGTGCAGACCCTAAAACTATTGTCTAAACATGATAATTATTGTTTATCTGGCAACCCAGAGCCTAACAAGACGGTTCAAAACAAATAATGTAAAGTAGGGAAAAAAGGCTTGTGAGCGTAACTGTATAAAAATGCATTTTTCTATTTATTTTGCCTGAGAGACGCATTCATTCAATATATTAGACAGAGTGTAGAACATGTGTAATCAAACATGTATATTGGCGATATAAAGAGAGACAGCAATGGTCATGCACCAACATACTTCATATATTGTAAATGGCACAGCGCCCCCAGAGGTGAAGCACACCTGCATTGTTTGAACAGGCAATGCATAAATTTTGACCATTGAAGTGTTGAAATAATTCAGAAAACAGTTTTATAGAGCAGTCAAGTGGTCAGAAGTATTTTCTCTTATCACTGTTAGCATTTTACTTGTCATGGTGACAGGTGAGGCCTCCCGACTGCACATTGATATGAACGTAATGTGATGATTAATGCAGCAGAGGACTCTATTCAGCAATAAAGCAATATAAATTAAACAAACATCTCACAGGAGGCACACATTCACCATGACTTGGTTTATTGGCTTTAACAGCACACCCCATGTAACTTTAACTTCTGCACAACTATGCATTAACATGATGCTAACATCCAGACTAAATGATATAAGGTCATGAGGCTCACCTTGTGGCATTTACACACAGCAGTAAACTGGGAATGTTTCTGCTCAGTGGCCTCAGATGACTTCTGTTGGGACTTGGCGCTATATAAAAAAACTGAATTGAATTGAGCTCGAACAGCAAGGTTGTGTCTGTGTCGGGAGAGAAAAAGACTACAACAATGCACATATGGCAGAAAAGCTATGGTGCATTAAAAGCATAGGAATTATGAAACTTAGAAATAAACCATCTGTAACTAAACAGAACTTAGCTCAGTAAACAAGACCACTACACATAAACAATATGGAGTGTATTTTTTTATTTTATTGATTAATTCCAGACATGTCAAAACCATTGACCTGTCCATGTACACATATCCATATACAGGCGCACACACAGATCCAGTTGAACACATCTGAAAAGGGCTTTCTAACAAAACCATAGTAACATTTTTTAATGAAATGTACATCAAGTGAGCTGCAGTTTGTATCTGTAAAGAACGCCGATACGAGATGTGAAACTTGTTAACTTCTGCCAGTCGAACGGTGAATAAGCCACTCTCTGTAGGGTTCATATATTTGTACATCTGATTATGCTGGCTTCAGTGCCTCACCAGTCATCAACTTCACTGGTTCAAATATGTTTTAATAGCCATAATAAAAATAAACGCAAAAAGCAATGTTGGATTTCCAGATTCGTTCATTTCTTCAGGCCTGGAAGAAATTATTTTTGGAAGAAACAAAAAAGTTTTTCAGCCTTTACCAGCCAATAGAACATATTAACCCTCTCAGTATCACAGCTGGGTTTAATGACTGACTGCACAAATGTAAAAGTTTCAAACAGTTGCTCAGAAATGTTCAAAGTGTTACAGAATATCCATTTATTCAATTGTCCAAGAAAAAAAATAAATAAATAAAAAGAAGCAACGTTTAAAAAGAAGCAGACAAAAGGGGACAGCAGATGACTTCTTGTTCAAACAACACTGCAGTGACTTTAAAGGAACGCTGAAATGAAGAAACTCACTGAATCGTACAACCGTCTCCTCCGCGCTGGTGACCGGTGGTTCTCAGCACTTCTTGGAATCGCAGCAGCGTCTCTTCTTCCTCTCTCCGTTTTCTTTCTCTCTGCTCCTGTAACTGATTCATTAAGACTCTAAGCTCCAGTTCTCTCCTCTCTCTTTCTCTTCTTTGTTCTTCTTTTAATCTCTCCAGCTCCCTCCTCCTCAATTCCTCCATGTACTCCCTCTGCCTCTTCCTCTCCTCCATCTCCTTCCTCTCCTCCTCCTCTCTCTCCCTCTTTCTCTCCTCATAAAGTCTCTGCATGTCCCTTTCATACTTCTCCTGCATTTTTCTCTCCACTTCTTCTCTCTCTCTGCGTTCTTCCTCCTGTTTCTCCCTCAGGATGCGTTGTTTCTCCTCTTCAATTTTCCTCGCAGCCTCCTGGAACATCTCGTTGGTGTAGTGGCTTCCTCCGTTCTTCTGGCCAATGTCTCTGATCTTCTGCAGGAGCTCGGTGACCTGAGAATTGTCTCCCTTCAGCTTGTTGTTGAACACGTGGTACTGACCGTTACATCTGCCAACGAGCTCCTGCAGATCTGGACTGTCATCCAAAAACTCCTCAATGGTGGTGTCTTCCATGTTGTCTCCGTGGGTAAAGAGGACCATGCTGTACGTGTCTGCAGTAGCTCCAAAGACTTCTTGAATCTTCTGCACCGTCTGCTTCTCCTCGTCAGTGAATCTGCTCAGTGAGATGACCACCAGGAAGATGTGTGGTCCAGGAGCAGAGAAGGAGATGCACTGGCTCAGATCTTTGGTTGTTTTCTCCTTGTCGTGCCTGGTGTCAAACAGACCCGGAGTGTCGATGACCACAACTTCTCCACCTATCACCGTATTACCTCTGGCACAGTCCACGGTTAAAGACCTGGGACCGCACTTGGACTCGAAGCAGTCTCGGCCCAGAATGGTGTTTCCGGTGGCGCTCTTCCCAGCCCCGGTCTTCCCGACCATCACGATCCTCAGCTCACTGTCGTTCGTCAGCATGGCTCCTGGTAAAAATAAATTTTTTATATTGTGTTATAGACAAAAATTAAGTACAGAACAGCTGATTAAAGAAATTCGAGGAATGAAGGAAAATAAAAACTGGGCATCCAGCTGATAATCAGCTAAAAGTTGCTGCATCGCAGCTTCTTTCAGGTTTTAGCTGGAAAACTTTGACTTTTTCTATTTATATTTCTATTAATTCATATTTCTGTTTCGCCGTCTTAATAATGTTTTAAAGTTGTCTTTTCTCTAAAAACATTACCATCGGCAGAACTGAGTCTAAAAATAAAGTTTGTTGAGCTCCTGGAAGCAGTGAAAAAACCGTAAACTCATTCTTACTCCGACACAATAAAACAGATTCAACCCACAGACACAAAACAAGATTTTCTGAAATAAACTAAAATAACGGGCCACAACAAAACCCTTCATTAAAATAATACAATAACCTGACGTAAATTGGATTAGTGATGATAAAACGTCAAATAAAAGTCTGACATCATGATGAAACAAAGAGTTTCTTTACATTTTAAGTAACATGATTATGGAAGTTTTTGCTAAAATAAATTATAATTTTATAATTAGCTGATCAGCGTAACACATGAAAAGTTTATACTTACCAAAGCAGTCAGTCTGGTGTGTAAAAGAAGCGTGTTGAAGCTGGAGACAACATCCTGTTCCTGCAGCAGCCTTATTTTATACTGCCCCGCACGCACGCGCGCGTGCACGCACCAGCTCTTTCACTTTCTGCACGTTAAAATGAAACTGGAACTTTAATCTCCCCAGCATTTACAAGAAGCAGCAGGACTTTGGTGAAGAGGAACACCCCCCCACCACCACCACCACGCCCCAACCATCTATGAGTTCACGCAATGCAAATAACAGTTTATGTTTGAATAACTGAAAATATGGAAATATACTTTTATAAGTCCTCATTTCATAAAATACATCCGTAATAAGATTCAGATTTTAAATAAAATCTGGGTGATTAATAAACTTTATTGTCTCGTTAGTAAGATTTAAAGAACAGGTGGAACGTTAGCAGTGAGTTGTGGTTTTTTTTTTAAGTCACATAAAAACCTAAAAAAGTTAAATCTGGTCCTCTGGACATTCAAAACATTTGAATGTCCAGAGGACCAGATTTAACTTTTTTAGATTTTTCTACCTGGATTATTGAGCATGCATCAGGATGTCACATAAAAACATTCAGAGAGGGGAGATGTGCAGGGTTTGGGCTCCGGCTTTGATTTTTTTTATGCTCATGACTTTTCTTCATAAAACAGCGTGATAAGAGGAAGAACCCTTATGAGGACAAGTTACTAATTGACCACAAGATGAAGACAATAAATCAGGACAGGGCAGTTTGAGATTTACAGAACTAGGCAATTCTTCATTTTGTGGGGAGTGGTGGGGCAGAGGTTAGAAGATGGGCCTGTGATCGGAAAATCGCAGGTTCAACTCCCGGTACCGTCAACATTAAAATGTGGGTGAAAAAGGTGGAACACCCACACCCGCCTCCACCCTCATTCGCCCCACTCGGGGCCCCTGAACAAGGCCCTCAACCCCCACCATGTGCTCCTTAAACAGGTCTCACTTGAAAATGAGACTACCTGTATAAATAAAGGGTAAATGAAAAAAATAAAATGATGTCATAATAGTTTTGTGATTTAGGCTTATATTTAAGCCTTTTTATTATTTAACTTTTAAGTCTTTTCCAGGCATTTTGTCTTCTTCCTACCCACCGGCTTCAGATGTTATCAGCCATTAAATGGCCGTTATTAGTTGTTATCATCTCCATATGCAGCGGTCAGACTGCCCCTCCTGTACCTCACAGTGGGTTTAAAGGTACGTTGTTAGCGGTGATAATAGGCTCTATTTTTAACTTTGTTAGCGCTCATAATAGCTTCACGTGGTTAGGTTTAGAGTAACGGGTCTGGCGGTTAGGTTCACGGTCTTGGTTAGGTTTAGGCACAAGGGTAAGGGGTTAAGTTTAGCGTTGGTCCTCAGGGTCAGGTGTAAGGTTAGGTTTAGGAAAAGGGTTACATAAGCTGAACCCCCCCCCCCCCCCAAAAAAAAACAAAACACTTCCTGGTTTACCCCCGTACGATGCTGCCTATTATCAGCGATAATAACAAGAATAACGCATCTTTAAGCCTATAGGAGGTAGGTGGGACAGTTTGACCGCTACATATTGGGATGATAACAACTAATAACGGCCATTTAATGGACTGATAACATCCGAAGCCGCTCTCCTACCAGTTTGCCTCTTACTGCTGGAGAACTTGTGATTTCTTTTTTAATCTAAATTATTGTTTTCTAATTTTCTTTAATTTCTTTCTGACACTCCATAAACTACTGACTTGGAAAAAAAAAAAATCCTCACAGAAACACAAGGCTTAAGTTTCAGTTTCACTTCTTTTGTTCCATTTGAAATGGATGAGGTGATTCCCCTGACGTCTGGGAAATTCAGCACAAAACTTAACAATTTAAACTTCATTTTGGAATTACCAGTAGAGTTAAAATAAACACAGCTTTTCCAAATATAAAAAGTCCAGACAGTTAATAAAAAACGGATCAAGTTTTATTAACAGATGCAGTAAAACGGTTACAGTAACAGATTAGTTCAGTGCATAAATAAATATTATATTTTTCACTCATCTCACTTTGTTTATCTAGTGTGTAGATTAATCTTCTGTCTTCTCACACACTCAGATGCAGGAATCATCTCTGTCCTGGTTCTTTGTTGACTCGTTCTGCTGAAGACCAGAACTCTGTCCTCTGGCCCAATTTCTTCTAACTTCCTTGACATCTGAACAACGGACCAGTTAGCTGTTCCGAGGTCTTCAGATGCTGAGAAGAGAGACAGTCTGTAGTGAGATGGTCTGCAGTGAGACAGACTGCAATGAGACAGTCTGCAGTGCAACACTCTGCAGTGAGACAGTCTGTAGTGAGACAGAGTGCAATTTGACAGTCTGCAGTGCAACATTCTGCAGTGAGACAGTCTGTAGTGAGACAGAGTGCAATGTGACAGACTGCAGAGAGACAGACTGCAGAGAGACAGTCTGCAGTGAGACATTCTGCAGTGAGACAGTTTGCAATGAGATGGTCTGCAGTGAGACAG